AGCACGATAGGTGGCTTACTCTCTGTTTCTTTCTGGCCTTTTAGAACATCTCTCCACCACATCCTATTTGTAGCTCTTAGTAATATTTGCCTTTTTGCTATCCTTACCTCTGCCTGTTTTTCCATCCATTACAACAAGCACGATAGGTAGGTTACTCTCTGTTTTCTTTCTGGCCTTTTAGAACATCTCTCTCCACCACATCCTATTTGTAGCTCTTAATATTTGCCTTTTCTATTTTCCCACACCTCTGCCTGTTTTTCCTCCATTTTACACAAGCTCGATAGGCCTTTTTAGTTACTCTCTGTTTTCTTTCTGGCCTTTAAGAACATCTCTCCACCACATCCTATTTGTAGCTCTTAGTAATATTTGCCTTTTCTATCCTTACCTCTGCCTGTTTTCCATCCATTTACACAAGCTCGATAGGTAGCTTACTCTCTCTGTTTCTTTCTGGCCTTTTAGAACATCTCTCCACCACATCCTATTTTGTAGCTCTTAGTAATATTTGCCTTTTTTATCCTTACCTCTGCCTGTTTTCCATCCATTTACCTTTCTTAGGGTGGCTTACTCTGTTTCTTTCTGGCCTTTTAGAACATCTCTCCTCCACATCCTATTTTGTTTTAGCTCTTAGTAATGTTTTGCCTTTTTGCTATCCTTACCTCTGTTTCTGCCTTTTTTCATCCATTTACAAGGTAATATTTAGGTATCCTTATCTCTGTATCTCTTTTTCTTTCTGGACTTTTAGAACATCTCTCTCTCCACATCCTATTTGTAGCTCTTAGTAATATTTGCCTTTTGCTATCCTTACCTCTGTCTGTTTTTTTCCATCCATTTACACAAGCACGATAGGTAGCTTACTCTCTGTTTCTTTCTGGCCTTTTTAGAACATCTCTCTCCACCATCCTATTTGTAGCTCTTAGTCATATTTGCCCTTTTGCTATCCCTTACCTCTGCCTGTTTTTCCATCCATTTACACAAGCACGATAGGTAGCTTACTCTCTGTTTTCTTTTCTGGCCTTTTAGAACATCTCTCTCACCACATCCTGTTGTGGCTCTTAGTCATATTTGCCTTTTGCTATCCTTACCTCTGCCTGTTTTTCCATCCATTTACACAAGTACGCAAATAGGTAGGTTACTCTCTGTTTCTTTCTGGCCTTTTAGTATCTCTCTCTCCACCACACATCTATTTGTAGCTCTTAGTAATATTTGCCTTTTCTATCCTTACCTCTGCCTGTTTTTCCATCCATTTACACAAGCTCGTTAGGTGGGTTACTCTCATTTCTTTCTGGCCTTTTAGAACATCTCTCTCACCATCTGTTAGCAGCTCTTAATATTTGCCTTTTCTATATCTCCTTACCTCTGCCTGTTTTTCCATCCATTTACAAACTCGTTAGGTGGCTTACTCTCTGTTTCTTTCTGGCCTTTTAGAACATCTCTCCACCACATCTATTTGTAGCTCTTAGTAATGTTTGCCTTTTGCTATCCTTACCTCTGCCTGTTTTTCCATCCATTTTACACAAGCACGATAGGTAGGTTACTCTCCCTGTTTCTTTTCTGGCCTTTAGAACATCTCTCTCCACACCATCCTGTTGCAGCTCTTAGTAATGTTTCCCTTTTGCTATCCTTACCTCTGCTGTTTTCCATCCATTTTACACAAGCACGATGGTGGATTGCTCACTGTTTCTTTCTGGCCTTTTAAGAACATCTCTCTCCACATCCTATTTTAGCTCTTAGTAATATTTGCCTTTTTTATCCTTACCTCTTCCTGTTTTTCCATCCATTTACACAAGCTCGTTAGGTAGCTTACTCTATTTCTTTCTGGCCTTTTTAGAACATCTCTCTCCACCACATCTATTTGTAGGCTCTTAGTAATATTTGCCTTTTTTTATCCTTTTGCTACCTCTGCCTGTTTTTTTCCATCCATTTACACAAGCACGATAGGTAGCTTACTCTCTCTGTTTCTTTCTGGCCTTTTAGAACATCTCTCTCCACCTTACATCCTACCTTTTAGTTTTCTCCTCTTAGTAATACTGCTGTTTCTTTTGCCTTTTTTCCACCACATACCTTGCACCTCTGCCTGTTTTTCCATCCATTTACACAAGCACGATAGGTAACACTCTCTGTTTTCTTTCTGGCCTTTTAGAACATCTCTCTCCACCACATCTATTTTGTAGCTCTTAGTAATATTTGCCTTTGCTATCCCTTACCTCTGCCTGTTTTTCCATCCATTTACATATACAAGCACGATATTCTGTCTTTGGTGGCTTCTGCTGTTTCTTTCTGGCCTTTAGAACATCTCTCTCTCCACCACATCCCATTTGTAGCTCTTAGTAATATTTGCCTTTTGCTATCCTTACCTCTGCCTGTTTTTTTTCTCCATCCATTTACAGCTTACTCATGTTTCTTTCTGGCCTTTAGAATCTCTCCACACCACATACTATTTGTAGCTCTTAGTAAATATTTGCCTTTTTGCTATCCTTTACTCTGCTCTTGTTTTTCCATCCATTTAATAGGTAGCTTTTACTGTTGTTTTTCTGGCCTTTAGAACATCTCTCTCCACCACATCCCATTTGTAGCTTCCTTAGTAATATTTGCTTTTGCTATCCTTACCTCTGTCTGTTTTTTCCATCCATTTACACAAGCACAGGTAGCTTACCTCTCTGTTTCTTTCTGGCCTTTTTAGAACATCTCTCTCCACCACATCCTATTTGTAGCTCTTAGTAATATTTGTTTTTGCTATCTCTTACCTCTTGTCTGTTTTTCCATCCATTTGCTACAAAGCTCGTTAGGTAGCTTACCTCTGTTTCTTTTTCTTGCCTTTAGAACATCTCTTCCACCATATATCCTATTTGCAGCTCTTAGTAATATTTGGTTTTTGCTAACTCACTTTCCTGCCTGTTTTTCCAACCATTTAAATAAGCACGATATGTAGGTTACTTCCTGCTGTTTTCTGGCTCTTTAGAACATCTCTCCACCACATCCTATTTGTAGCTCTTAGTATTTTGCCTTTTGCTATCCTTACTCTCTGTCTTGTTTTTCATCCATTTACATTGCCATCGATAGGTGGCTTACTTCCCCTGTTTCTTTTCTGGCTCTTTAGAACATCTTCCACCACATCCCATTGTAGCTCTTAGTATTTGCCTTTTTGCTATCCTTACCTCTGTCTGTTTTTCCATCCATTTACACACAAGCTCTTAGGTAGTTTTCTACTCTCTGTTTCTCTGGCCTTTTAGAACATCTCTCCACCACATCCCATTTTGTAGCTCTTAATATTTGCCTTTTGCTATCCTTACCTCTGTCTGTTTTTCCATCCATTTACACAAGCACGATAGGTAACCTCTCTGTTTCTTTCTGGCCTTTTAGAACATCTCTCTCACCACATCCTATTTGTAGCTCTTAGTAATATTTATTTTGCTAACCTTACCTCTGCCTGTTTTCCATCAATTTACACAAGCACGATATATGGAATTCTCGCTGTTTCTTTCTGGCCTTTTAGAACATCTCTCCACATATTTGCTTGTCTTGTAATATTTTGCCTTTTACTGTCTATCTGCCTGTTTTCCATCCAAGCACACGATAGGTAGCTTACTCTCTCATTTCTTTCTGGCCTTTAGAACATCTCTCTCCATACTATTTGCTCTTAGTGTGTTGCCTTTTGCTATCCTTATCTCTGTCTGTTTTCCATCCATTTACAAGCGATAGGTAGCTTACTCACTTTATTTTCTTTCTGGCCTTGCAGAACATCTCTCTCCACCACATACTATTGCTAGCTGTTTTTCTGTTTTCCATCCATTTAGAACATGGCTTCTCTGTTCACCATCTCTCTCCACCACATCCTATTTGTAGCTCTTAGTAATATTTGCTATCTTTTTGTTTTCCATCCATTTACACAAACCTCTGCCTGTTTTTCCATCCATTTAGCTCTTAGTAATATTTGCCATCGATAGTCTGTCATTTACACAAGCACGATGGGCTCTCTGTTCTTTTCTGGCCTTTTAGAACATCTCTCTCCACCACCCTATTTCTTAGGCTCTTAGTAATATTTGCCTTTTGCTATCCTTACCTCTGTCTGCCTGTTTTTCCTGTTTCTTTCTGTTTAGAACATCTTACACAAGCACGATATTTGCCTTTTTGCTATCCTTACCTCTGTCTGTTTTCCATTTTACAAGCACGATTTCTGGCCTTTAGAACATCTCTCTCCACCACATACTATTGTAGCTCTTAGTAATATTTGCCTTTTGCTATCTCTTACCTCTGCTTTGTTTTTCCATCCATTTATTAGCCTGTTGGGTAGCTTACTCGCTGTTTCTTTCTTACCTTTTTAGAACATCTCTCTCCACCACATCCTATTTTGTAGCTCTTAGTAATATTTGCCTTTTTGCTATCCTTACCTCTGTCTGTTTTTTCCATCCATTTACACAAGCACGATAGGGTACCTCTTTCTTTCTCTGTTTCTTTCCTGGCTAGCTTTTAGAACATCTTTTCTCTCCACCACATCCTGTTTTCCATCCAGGCCGTTAGGTAATATTTGCCTTTTGCTATCCTTACCTCTTGTCTGTTTTTCCATCCCTGTTTTACGTAAGCACGATAGGTAGGTTACTTTGCTGTTTCTTTCTGGCCTTTTAGAACATCTCTCCACCACATCCTATTTAGTAATATTTGCCTTTTGTATCCTTACCTCTCTGTTTTTTCCATCCATTTACACAATCACGAGGGTTTACTCTCTGTTTCTTCTGGCCTTTAGAACATCTCTCCATCCTATTTGTAGCTCTTAGTAATATTTGCCTTTTGCTATCATACCTCTGTCTGTTTCCATCCAGGATAGGTAGCTTACTCTCTGTTTCTTTCTGGCCTTTAGAACATCTCTCCACCACATCCTATTTGTAGCTCTTAGTAATATTTGCCTTTTTGCTATCCCTTCTGTCTGTTTTTTCATCCATTACACAAGCACGATAGGTAGCTTACTTCTGTTTCTTTTCTGGCCTTTGAAACATCTCTCCACCATGTCCTATTTTTCCCTTTTTAAATTTTTTTCCTTCCTTTTTTTCCTCCTTTACACAACACTTTTTTTTCTTTTTTTCCCCCCCTTTCCCCTTTCTCTTGTTTTCCTTTTTTTCCACCTGTTTTTTCCTCCCTTTCCGGGGTTTTTTTTCTTTTCCCCTTTGAACTTTTACCTTTTTTTGTCTTATTTTTTTTCCTTTTTTTTGCCCTCTTTTTCCTTTTCCTTTTTTTCCCCCCACTTCTCCCTTTTTTTTTTTTAGAATTTCCTTTCCCCCCTTTTTTTTTTTTCCTTTTTTCCTTCCTCTTTGTTTTTTATTTTTTGGTTAGTTTTTTTTCTTCCAAATCTTTACCCAAAATTTGGCCTTGTAATTTTTTTTTTACCTTACCTTTTTTCCCCATTTAAAAGGGGTTTTTCCCCTTTTTTTTTTATTTTCTCTCCCCCCTTTTTTTTTTTTTTTTTTTTTTTTTCCCTTTTTTTTTTTCCCCCCCTTTCTCCTTTCCGGGTTTACTCTCTTTTCCCTTTTCCCTTTTTTTTTTCCTTTTATTTTTCCCGTTTTTTTTTTCACCAAAAATGGGGCTTTTTTTTTCTTTCGGTTTTAAATTTTTTTTTCCCCCCTTTTAGCTCTTTTTTCCTTTTCTTTTTTTTCCCCTTTGTTTTTTTTTCCTTTTTTAAAAAATTTTCACCAAATTTTTCCCTTTTTTTTTTTTTTTTTTTCCCTTCAACCTTTTTTTCCCCCCTTTTTTTTTTTCTTTAAAAAACTCCTCCCCCATTTTTCTTCTTTAAATGGTTTTCCTTTTCTTTCCTCTTTTTTCCCCTTTCACAACACATTAAAATTTCTTTTTTTTGGCCCTTTTTACCCCCTCCTTTTTACCTTTTTTTTTTTTGCCCTTTTCCTTCCCCTTTTTCCACCTTTAAAAATTATTACCCTTTTTTTTTTGGCCCTTTTATCCTTCCCCCCTTTTTTTTTTTTTTTTTTTTATATTTTTTTTCCTTTTTTTTAAAAAATTTTTCTTTCCCTTTTCTTTTCCCTTTTTTTCCTTTCAAACCATTGGTTTATTTTTTTCTTTTTTTAAAACCCCCTTTTCCCCCCCTTTTAAATTTTTTTCCCCCTTTTCTTTTTTTCCTTTTTCCCCATTTAAAAATTTTTTTCCCTTTTTTTTTTTTTTCCTTTTTTTCCTCCAAACCTTTTGGGTTTTGTAAATTTTTTTTTTGACCTTCTTTTTTTTTTCCCTATTTCACCGAAAGGGGGTTTTTTTTCTTTTTGTTTTAAAAAAATTTTCCCCACCCAATTTTTTCCCCTTTTTTTCCCTTTTCCCCTTTTTAAATTCTTCCCCCACCATTTCCAAACTTTATTTTTTTCCTTTTTTTTTCCTTTTAAAAATTTTACCCTCCTTTTTCTCTTTTAAAATTTTCCTTTTTATTTTTTTTTTTTTCCTTTTCCAAATTTTTTTTTTTTTCCCCTTTCAAACATTTTACCTTTTTTGCCTTTTTAAAATTTCCTTTCCCTTTTCTCCTTTTTCCTATCCCCCCCTTTTTTTCCTTTTTTCCCCCCTTTTTACATTTTTTTAAAACCCTTTTTTCCCCTTTTTTTTTCCCCTTTGTTTTCCTTTTTTCCCTTTTTCCTTTTTTCCAAACTTTAAATTTTCCCTTTTTTTTTGGCTTTTAGAAAATTTTCCCCCTTTTTTCTTAAATTTTGTTTTTTATCCTTCCCCTTTTTTCCTTTTTCCGCCTTTAAAATTTTTTTTTTTTTTTGCCTTTTCTTTCTTCCCCACTCCTTTTTTTCCTTTAAAATTTCCCATCCCCTTTTTTGTTTTTTTCCCCTTTAAAACCTTTTCTCGTGTTTTCCCCCTTTTTTTTTTTCTCCCCCAAACTTTTTCTTTTTATTTTTTTTATTTTTTTTCTTTTTTCTCCTTTCCGACCCTTTTTCCCCCTTTTTTTTTTGAAATTTTTCCCCTTTACCCTTTTTTTCCTTTAAACCTTTTTTCCCCCTTTTTTTTTCCCTTTTTCCCTTTTTTCCCCAAATTTACCTTTTTTTTTGGCCTTTTGCTTCTCTCTCCTTTTTTCCTTTTACCAAAAATTTTCTTTTTCTTTCGCCTTTTCATCCTTTCAAATTTTTTTTATGGTTCCCTTTTCTTTTAAATCTTTTTTTCTCATTTTAAAAAAAATGGGGATTTTCCTTTTTCCCCCTTTTTTTCCATCCTTTTTAGCCTTAGTATTTTCTTTTCTTTTGTTTTTCCCTCTTTCACAATTTTATTTTTTTTTTGGTTTTTTTTTTCTCCCCCTTATTTTTTCCTTTTTTTCTTTTTTTTTCCCCCTTTTTTAAAAACCCCAAACTATTTTTTTTGTTTTTTTCCCCTTTTTTCCCCCCCCCCCTTTTTATCTTTTAAAAGTTTTTTTTTCCCCCTTTTTCCTTTTCCCCAGGTTTTCTTTTTTTCTCTTTTTAAATTTTCTTTTGTACCTTTAAATTTTCCTTTTTTTTTCCCTTTTTTTAAAAAAAAACTTTTTCCCTTTTTTTTTTTTTTAAAATTTTACCCCATCCCTTTTTTCTTTTTTTGCCTTTGTTCCTTTCCCCCCCTGTTTTTCCATCCATTTTTTTTGTGCTTCCTGTTTCTTTTGGCCTTTTTTAAATCCTTTCCCCCCCCTTTGTAGCTCTTAGTTTTTGCTCTTTTTCCCCCATTTCTTTTTTTTCCTTTTTGGTTTTCTCTTTTCTTTTTTTCCTTTTTTAGCTCTCTTAACCCCCCTTTTGTACTCTTTTTAAATTTTTTTTTTTTTTCTCTTTCTTTCTTTTTTAAATTCTTATTTTTTTTTTTTGGGCCCTTTTTTTCACCCCTTTTACCTTTTTTTTTTTTGTTTTTTTTTTTCCCTTTTTTTTCCTCCCACAAATTTTGTTTGCTTTCTTTTTTTCCCCTTTTTCATCCTTTACCAACCCTTTTGCTTGTTATTTTTCCTTTTTTCCCTTTTTTTCCCCCCTTTTTTATCCATTTACACAAGCAAATTTGCTTATTCTTTTCTTTGGCTTTAAAATCTTCCCCCCCCTCCTTTTTGCCCTTTTTTTCCTTTCTTTTTCCCCCCTTTGTTTTTTCCCTTTAAAAAACCTTAACTTTTCTTTTTCTTTTTCCTTTTTTTTTCCCCCTCTTTTTACCTTTTTTTTTTTTACTTCCCCCTTTTTTTTCCCCTTTAAAAAATTTTCCCCTTTCTTTCTTTTTAAAATTTTTCCCCCTTTCCCCTTTTTCCTTTTATTTCCTTGTTCCTTTTTTTCCCTTTTGGGTTTTCCCCTTTTGCCTTTGGGCTTTTTCCCCCCTGTTTTTTCCCTTTTTTTTTCCTTTTTTTTCCCTTTTTTTTTTTTCTTCCAATTTTTTCTTTTTTTTCCTTTAAAATTTTTTTCCCCCCTTTTTTTTCCTTTTTTTCATTTTCCCTTTTTTTAAAAAATCCTTTTCCCCCCTTTTTTCTTTTTTAAACCTTTTCCCCCCCGCTATTTTCTTTTTTTTCCCTTTTTCTTTCTTTCCTTTTCCCCAAAAATTTTCCCTTTTTTTTTCTTCCTTTTTCTTTTTCCCCATTTTCCAAAAATTGTTTTTTTTTCGGCCCTTTTTCTCCTTCCCCTTTTAATTTTTTCCCTTTTTCCCCACCTTGCTTTTTTCCCCAAAAAGCCTGGGAAAATTTTTTTTTCCCCCCTTTTCTTTCCAATCCCTTTTTTTTTATTTTTTTTCCTTTTTCCTTTTCCCCCCTTTTTTGGCCTTTTTTTTCCCCTTTTTTCCCCTTTCTGGTTTTTTTTTCTTCCAAAATTTTTTCCTTTTTTTGGTTTTTTTCCCCTTTTTTTTTTCCCCCTTTTTAAAACCTTCCCCCCTTTGTTTTTTCCTTTTTACTTCTCCCTTTTTTTTTTTTAAATTTTTTCTTTTGTTTTTTTTTGTTTTTTCCCCCCCCCCCTTTATATATTTCTTTTTCTTTTTTTCCTTTACAAATTTTTTCCCCCTTATTTTCTTTTTCTTTCTTTTTCCCTTTTTTCCTCCCTTTAAAACCCCGATTTACCTCTTTTTTTTTCCTTTTAAAAATTCTACCACTTTTTTTTTCCCTTTAAAATTTTCTCTTTTACTTCCCTTTTTTTTCTTTATTTACCGCCGTTTTAACTTCCCCTTTTTTTCCCCTTTTCACTTTCCCCCCCTCCTTTTACTCTTGTAAATTTTTGGCCCTTTCTTTTACCTTGTTTTTCCCTCCATTTAAAAAGCACGATAGGTAGTTACTGCTGTTTCTTTCCCTTTTGGAAAATCTCTCACCACATCCCTTTGACTCTTTTTTTTGCTATCCCCTTTTTTTTCCCTTTTTTCCCTCCATTTCAAAAAAAGGTATTACTTCCCTTTTTTTTGGCCCAAAACTCTCTCCACCCCCCTTTTTTCCCTTTTTTTTTTTCCCACCTCTTTTTTTTTTCCTCAAAAAGAAGGTGTTTCTCTTTTTTCTTTCGCCTTTTGAACATCTTCTCCCCCACCCATTTTACTTTAAATTTTTTTTTTTTCCTCTGCTGTTTTCCTCCCTTTAAAAAAAGTGGGTAATTTTTTTCTTTCTGGCCTTTTAAAAACTCTTCCACATCCCATTTGTAGTTTAGTAATATTTGCCTTTTTTTTCCTTTTTTTCCTCCTTTCAACCATTACACCCTTTTTTTTCCTTTTCTTTCCCCCTCCTTTTGACTCTTTTTTTTTTCCTTTTTTTTTTTTTTCCTTTCCAAACCTTTTTCCCCCTTTTTTTTTTTTAAACCTTTTCCCCCCCCCCGTTTCTCTTTTTTTGCCTTTTTTTCCTTTTTTTTCCATTTTTGGTTTTGTATTCTTTCCCTTTTTTTTCCCCCCTTTAAAATTTTCCCCCTTTTTTTTTTGCTTTTAAATTTCTTTTTTTTTTTTTTTTTCTCCTTTTCCCCTTGCTTTTTTCCCCCCTTTTTTTTCCCTTTTGCCTTTTTTTTCCTTTTTCCCCCTTTCCCCCTTTTAAAAGGGGTTTTTTTTTTTTCCTTTTCCCTTCTTTTTCCCCTCCTTTTTCTCGATGTTCCCTTTTTCTTTTCTTTTTTTTTTGGTTTACTTACCAATTTTTTTTTCCTTATTCCTTAACCCTTTTTTTTTAATCCTTTTTTTTTTGTTTTTTTTTTTCCCAAACCCCTTTTTTCCTTTTTTTGCATCTTCCCCCTTTTTTTTTCCCCCTTAAAACCCCCCCTTTTTTGCTTTTTTTTTTTTCCCTCCATTTTTCACAGTGTGGCCCTTGTTTCTTTCTGGCCTTTTGTTCTCTCCACCACATCCCTTTTTTGGGTCTTGTAAATTTTCCTTTTTTCTACCTTTTTTGTTTTTATATTTAAAAACCCGATTTTTTTACTCCGTTTTTCTGGCCTTTAATTTTTCTCCCACATCCCATTTTTAGCCTTTTTTATTTGTTTTCTATCCTTTTCTGTTTTTCCTCCCTTTACACAAAACAGTGGTTTTTCCCGTTTCTTTGCCTTTTAGAACATCTCTCCACCACATCCCATTTGTTTAAATTTTCCTTTTTTCTTCCTTCCTTTTTTTTTTTCCCAACAAAAGGTTATCCCTTTTTTTTTTTTTTAAATCTCTCCCCCATCCCCATTTGTACTCTTGTTTTTCCTTTTCCCTTTCCCTTCCTTTTTTCTTTTTTAAAAGAAGTTTTTTATTTTTTTTCTGTCCTTTCTTCCCCCCCCCTTTTTCCCCTTTTTAAAATTTTTTTGCTTCTTTTTTTTTTCCCTCCTTTTCCGCGTTCTTACCCCTTTTTTTTGGTTTACTTTTTTTCCCTTTTTGGGTTTTTTCCTTCCCCCCTTTTTGTTTTTATCCTTTCAAAAATTACCCCTCCTGTTTTTTTCTTTAAAAACCTTTTTATTTTCTTTTTCCTTTTTAAAATCCTTTCCCCTTTTTTAAAAAAATTTTTTTCCTTTTTTTTTTGGCCCTTTTTTCCTCTTTAAAATCTTTTGTATCTTTCTTTTTTGCCTTTTTACCATTTCCCCCCCCTTTTTTCCAAAATTTTTTTTCTTTTTTTCTTTTACCCTTTTTTTCCCTCCCTTTTGTTCTTTTGTACTTCCCTTCCTTTTTTTTTATCCCCAACAATGGGGCCCTTTTTTTTTGCCTTTAACCCCTTTTTCCCCCCTTTTTTTTTTTCCCCAAATCCTTTTTCTTTTTTTTCCTTTTTAACCTTTTTACCCCCGTTTTTTCAAATTTTTTTTTTTCCTTTCCCTTTTTTTTTTTTCCCCCCGGGGTTTTTTCCCTTTTTTTTGTTTTTCCCTTTTTTTTGCTTTTTAAAAACCTTTGTTTTTTTGTTTTTTTTCCCTTTCCTTTTTCCCACAACAAAATTTTTTTTTTTTCTTTCCTTTTGCTTTTCCACCATTTTTTGTTTTGTTTTGCCTTTTGTTTCCCTTTTTCCCCTTTTTTTTCCCCTTTACACAATTTTTTCTTTTAAATTTTTTTCAAATTTTTTTTTTTTTCCTTTTTCTCTTTTGTTTTTTCTTTTCCCCTTTTTTTTTTTCCCCCAAATTCCCCTTTTTGGTTTTAAATTTCCCTTTTTACCCTTTCCCCTTTTTTCCCCCTTTTTAAAAGCCTGGGCTTTCCTCGCCCTTTTTTTTCCTTTAAAAAACCTTAAAATTTTGTTTCCCTTGAAATTTGCCTTTCTTCCTTTCCCTCCCTTTTTTCCTTTTAAAAATTTTTGCTTTCTTTCCTTTTTGGGCCCTTTCATCCTTCCCCCCCATTTGTAGCTCTTGTTTTTTTGCCCTTTTCTTCCTCCCTTTTGTTTTTTTATTTTAAAAAACTTTTGGGTTTTTTTTTTTCTTTCGGCCTGAACTCTCCCTTTTTTTTTTTTGTCTCCAAAAAATTTTTTTTTTTAAATTTTTTTTCCCCTTCTTTTTACCCTTAAAACCCTTGTATTTTCTCCTTTTTTCTGGGCCCTTTTTAAAAATCTCTTCCCCCACCACATCCCATTTAATTTTGCCTTTTCTTCTTTTGCCTGTTTTCCCCTTTAAAAAAATGTTACCTTTCTTTTTTTTGGCCTTTTTTCTCCTCCACCACATCTATTTGTTTTATATTTTCCTTTTTCCTTACCCCTTTTTTTTTCCTCTTTACACAAGCAATGGTAGTTTTCCCGTTTCTTTCTGGCCTTTTTCTCTCTCCACC